CCTCCGAACGAAGGCGTTCCTCTTGACGATCCAAGGCGCGCCAATCGTCTTCCCGAGGAACTTCTCGATTCCAATCCTCGGCCAAAGGAAACTCAGCATTATAAGAAGAACGTGCATGCATGTATTCAGAACAACGAGAGTGATTGGAACGAAACAAATCCTTAACACATCGATAACCATCCAAACGACAACGCGAACACGGAATCATTTCGACATCACTAGATTCAATAGCCTGAGCAAGAAGGATTTGTTCCTTACGTTTTCGAACAGTTAGGTGATTAGGGGAAATAGTGGTGATAGACATAATGAAAGAGCCTAAGACCATTTGATTCACCGGCCGGGTGGGGAAATGGAGCATTATAAGACGCTTGGGACAAGCGCTAGTCTAGGAAGGGGATAGTGTTACGATGGGTAACAGAATGCCATGTGACAAGTGTCACGTGGTGGAGTCCCCAGGAGCCAGGGCTCCAAGGAGGTCCTTGGGAGCCAGGACTCCAAGAAACTCCAACCAACATCAGAGTACGAAGATCTATATAAGGGAATGGGATTTCATTACAATGTAGAGCTTCGTGCTCAAGAACAATCATTAGTTTCATTACTATAGTTACGAGAATTGCAACCAGTTACAACCTTATTGAATTCCTACTTGAAGTCTAGTCTAAACCACCTCGAGAGATCTCTAGACACTTCCACGTGACCCTAGAGGCAGCTCCCGTAACATATAAATAATCCTGTAATTTTGAGGGTATTCTTTTAAATATCTATTTATAGGAAATTTTCTTTTTTTTCTGAATCCTTCAAAATAAAGATGTTATAAATTTATAATAAAATTTTATAGTTTATTTTTAATAATTTTTATTAAAAAGTTATTAAAGATTTTATAAAAGTTTCAAATTTGTATATAATTCTTATACAAATTTAAAAATCGATATTTTGAAGCTCTAAATCTTAATATAGAAAATTCCTAAAAATCTGAAATTTTCAAGCTAAACTAAAAATGATCTAAATTATATATATACAAATTTTCAATAAATTCTATCCATAAATAAGAAAGTTAAAAATTCCATTTTTGGTGTAAAAAGTGGCCTAAAAGGGGGGTGGCCCGAAAGTAGGGTATCCGACTTAGCTGTAGAGAGATTTCTTGGGCTTCAAGGGGGCTTTGCAATGCGATTTCATGGTGTGATTCTTTGGCATTCGTTTACGCTTGATTGATTGTGGTGTCTTGAGTTCTTACGCTGTACGTAGAGATGGATGGTGAAGACAAAGTACCCTAGGATGCAATGGATAGTAGTCCATCACAATATCGACATGATATATGCAGTTATATTCCCTCGCTCATGATCCCTACTCGTTGGATTTGGAATGAGTACGAAGTGATGAGCCTAGATATCTTGGAGTAACTAGAACTTGGACTTTCTGTTTTTAAGCAAGATGTACTGCACTGATAGGTGTGTAGGCGTGTAGGCTTGTATGCTAGATCATCCAAATGGATGAATACAGGCAGACATGAGATTCATGATTGTGAGGTTCGCTCTGTGAGGGGGATTATGTTGTTGAAGTAGCGAAAGGATTGTTGTTGGGGAATCTTAATCAAGGTTGTGTTTTAAGATTATGCAAACTCACCGAGGCATGTAGTCTTATGGGCTAGCTTTGGTATAGAATGGCTCGTTGGGTAAACGTCACTAGCACTGAATCATCTCAAACGAAACCTCAAAAGACAATCTGTAGCGACTTGTCTCGGTGGTAGACTAGTAAGATCATCTGCAACGAGCCATGGAATGGGTTGAAGTGATAGGTTACATCTGCTATTGAGCCTCGTACCCGAGACTGTGCAGAGAGCAATAGTAGAATCTAGTGTTAAACGGTCATTTAACCAACCTTCCATAGACTCTGTTGGCTTCATGATCGCTGAGCGAGCATTGTCGCCTTCGATACCCGTTATGAAGTATTGTAATTTGTGTGTTGTATAGGATGCTTATTAAGAGGTACTGACTAGCTATAGACGATGCTATCTCGACCAACTGTTCCCATCTGTTTTATATACACTGGCCCCTGGCTTCAAAACCACTAAAGTATTCAACACACCAATTCTGGAGCGGAGGAGTTGAGAAAGTATATTGTTTATTTGAATAGGGTAGTAGGGTTTTAAAAGATCCCATTCCTCCTGAATGCTCTCTGGCTTGCCTATGAGAAAGCTCTGTAATAGTGTGATATTTGTGCTTCGACGACGATTAGTAAATACATTCGATTTCATTCTTTGAGTTAGTAATGTATGACCTCCACCCACCTGGCAAGGTATTGAAGGTCGGCCTCTTCATCCTCAGCTTTCTTTCTCAGTCATCCCGAGTACAATCCGCAGACATCCTGATATAATATTGTGGTGTATCTTGATGCTTAACTGCCCTTATTGGTCTCTAGCTTACGAGAGTACCTAATAAGCTTCAAATTCTAAGGGGTTGGCTGAGTCTCGTCCAAAAATCTAATATCCTCACTTCATTCTGTGATTGTATTCCGAGGATTATAATATCGTGGAACCAATAGATCAGGAATTCGAGGTGTTATTGTTTGAGGGAACATGATGCAATGATATAATGAAGCGCTGTGGATTTTTCCAGTTTCTCCGTTGTATATTCTACTTTACCTGGAGCTTTAGATATGTGACTGAATTGTATAGGCTTGTCCAAAGCCTGTGAGTATATATCAGACTACTGGGCTTCTAGAGTTCTTAGGGACATGAAGTAATGAAGGGCTGCCGTCTGAGATAACCATTAGTTAGAAGACCTAGGAGACTGGATACTTCACACTTGCACATTCAATACTTCTCTATTTGACAATGACACTTGTGGGGGAGAACCTCAGTCAATCATTCAATGCATGTCAGAAATGGATCCATTCACATACAAATCCCGATAGATTATGCCAAAGAGATCACACCATAAAGGTCATCAAGGTTATCCACTCATACCCTTTTCAAGTGAATCTATTCGCAAAGTGCTATTGCCTGCTCAATCAAGTTAATACTAGTCATCTACTGACAAAACTGCAAGAATGATCTTACTCTGATTCACATGCACTAACAAGCCACCCTTCCTTCGAGTACTTAAGAGTTATACCTTTCCATGCTGGCACTGTCATTAATCCGCGATTTTGGAACACCAAGCAAGAAAATCATTTGGTTCAAATGTTGATTGAGGCAGCGAGCCATTAGCATTCAGAAGGATTTTGACTCCCGCTGGGTCAACATCCATAGAGGCGTTGAATTGTAGCAGAGCACGCGCAGACTATTGATTTGTATATTGAGCAGATTGTAGGTATCTAAACAGATATTGTAAGGTTGCGAACATTGTGGCACTGCTGAGAGTATAAATAGTCACAAAATAGACAACCGCATTTGGTCTCAATACTGAATGATCGCCGAAAATAGGTAGCTGATGGATAGCTCCTCAATAGCGAACCTTGTCGGTATCGAATGTACTTCACTAATGCCGTCGAGCTCTTGATTTCTGCTGCTTTTTTCGGCCACAGGAACTCACTTGATTGCTTACTCCCTGCCGAGTTTAGATTCGGCAATAACAACAAAGTATACAAAAACATTGTATGCGTGTTTGAATCTAGGCAGACGGTAATACTGGCTTCTCCTATGCTGTAACTCGTACCGGTATATGCAAGCTCGTTTAAATTATGGATATGATATGAGGAGAGCCCTCTCCCCGCCCCACTTTCTGGAAAAATTCTTCTTCCCTAAGACCCTCTTTCCACAATCCCAAATTTGACCCTATATATATATTTAACACTCTGCATTACTTGCATCAATAACACTCATCTACAAGCGTTTGTGGTTTAGTGGTAAAATCCATCGTTGCCATCAATCTTCTCATTCTCATCTGAGAACTATGACTGAAACAACTTCGATGGGCCCCGGGTTCGATTCCCGGCGAACGCATTTTGCTTCTTCCTTTTTCTCGTGATCGCTTTACCACAATCGTTTTGGACTCTGAATGGTGGTGGTAACATCATGAGTCGTTATTTCGTAGTGAATTTTTGAAGTTGTGATTGGTACTGAGTGGGTGGAGGGAAGGGGAGTTGGGAGGTAGGCGAGTCTTGCTCGCTTCTTTGGAGGACTCACGATTTATACTTGGACTATACTTGCAGCCAAATGCAGTATGCCCGATTAGACAATTTATCAATTTGATTGTGAGTGAGTATGATGTGAAAAAGGAGTGTTGGTACGCCTTACTTTTGGCTTTTTGTAAGCCTCTATTTAAAATGTATACGTAATTAGATTAGATCTTCTAGCTGTTTGGAGCAGTGCTGAATAGGAAGGCGGAATGAACAAATATGCGAGCTCTGATCGGAAATTTGAGGAGTTCATAATTCACGGTGAAAAATGTGTGTCGGTGAAATCCATCTTTTGTCCAGCGTTGAATGAAAGTTTCTTCCAAATTGGGGTATTTATTGAGCCTCATGATGAAGGGGTTGAGTGCTCTACTGACTTGCAGTCAATTTTTTGGGATCTAATGACGTCTTGCGGTTCAAGAGCATGCTGGGCATGAGTAAGATTCTAGATCAGCTATCGCATCATACAGCAGTGCCAAACTCTCGGTTCAAGAATCCATCGAGAAGTCTTACAACCACATAAGATGCCAATATTGACAGTATCGAAACCAACAAAAGGAATTCGAAGGAATTCTGAATTCAACCCGAGGCTTGCCATTTGCAGATGATTGATATTAGTTTACTCCAACATCTTCAGTACCTACTTGAAAGCTTCGACCACATTCAAGTCGATCGATTATGCATGATCTGCACCACAAACGCCATTTCAAAGCCTCACAATAATAACTCTCCGATTCATTGTGTTGTGCACCCAGTGTTGGTGCCAAGAAGGAGAATTTACTATTAAAAGCTGAAGACATAAGATTGGAGTCTTGGGCCGAATTGAGATATCGGTACATTCTCTTCCGCGAAAATGCTTTGACCTCTTTTGGGTGTTGATCAGATCATTGCAAACCCGTATAGATTGCCCCGAGAGATATCACGGATAAGAAGCCAGGCCCGAGTCTACTGCTGACGTGAGAGACAGTGGGAGGACAGTGGGAGGAAATAGAGTTCCGCATTGCGCGGGTGGACATATGAGCGGACGCGACAAGAACATTCGAGGAAGCCGGTCGGGGTTGGGTTGGACTGAGAGAAGGTGGAAGGATTGTGACGGTGATATGTAGCGTCGATAGATGTGATACAAGATCCGGGGAGTCAAGTCTATCATGAACAAGGGGTGGTCCCAAGTCCACGGTTGACATCATTTTGGAAAATGATGAAGTACTAGAAAAGTGTAGGTAGAAACGCTTTGAATTCAAGACACAAATAGAAAGGAGCCGGCGATCGCGGCTGGATGAAATGAAGTTTTGAGTACTGTAGATATGAATAGAGAGTTCGGGTTCGGGTTCACTTTTGTTGCTTTGCTTGGGTCTAGATCTATGGAACCGTGCGGAATGATTGAACCTTATGAGGATGGAAACAAGGCGAACGGATCAACAATTATACAAAAGCCACCTGTAACAGGGCGATCACATCAATCTAGACTGCGATAATGATGCTTGAAAGTTTGAATCTCAGAAATGCTTTTCTTGATACAATCACGTCGGCGACTGCGGTTAGACCTTTTGGTGTCTAATTAGTGTTTAGATAAGAAGACATTGTCGAATTCTTGTCTTACAGTAGTCATGTGTCTACTCGCATATATCTATGTGTGTAAGTACAGACTGCATGCAGTGACGAGACAAGGTAACCTCACCATTACAAAGGGGTTAGTTCTGCGGGGTGCAGGAGATCACGAAGCAAGAGGGGCAATAAGCAAGATGATTTGAGTGAGGAAAAGTCCCGAATCATAATCAGGTAACAAAAGGGAGCTGTGGGGCTGAACCCTTACCGAGTACGTATGTAGACAAGTACCATTCTCCCACAGAGCTGTGCCAAGGTATTAATGTGAGACAGAAATAAATATTGCGCGGTGGATATAGTGTAACCCTATGAAAAAGTTACAAATTAGTTACTGACTCGGGATCCTTGTATTGCGTGGCCATTGGCCTTCGGTGGGTTGGACCGTATTGTTATCGGAGCTGAACGTTGATATAGTATGGTTTGAAGAAAGTTTCTTTTTCTCTCTTCTGGTGATTACTGAACCGATTCACCACGGACTGCCGGCCAGTAAACCTACAAGATGATTTTGTGTGCAAAAATAGCAACGGCAGCAAACGAGACCCCTCCCGCCAAACAAGATTATTGACATCAATATTGGATTAACCTCAGGACTATCTTACAATACTCATTCTACCCAAGCCGATTGAGCCGATATTTTTCATGGGAATAAGAAAACGACCATCGGATTATTCGGACTGAGAGGAGATGACCGAATTCTAACTTCTAGGTTCCGAATATCAAATTCAAGAACTCTTTTGCCAGCTCCTACTCCGTGCAATAACTGTGGAGACAATGATTTGCTTACCGTAGAGATGGGTCGATGCTTTACAGTGTAAAGATCATGCTATCGATCAATCTTATTGTTCCTTCAGGCTTCGTGAAATTCCTCGGGTTCTATATTTGTATTGTTGTGTCGTCGTCTCCTTTTGATAGAGCGCGACTATTTTCCACGTGGTTAGTTATGTATCCAACTCAGCCTACGTACTCAGCGCCTAAATCTGAAGCGTCTACGGGCTAGAACAACATCATCAGATTTTCAGGCAGATGCTTCTTGATGACATTTCATACCTTGTAATTATTGCCACTTGCCAATCTCCGGAGAACTTTTATGTCGAGACGGCGGCAATCAGAATTTGTCGCTCCACCTAGCGCGGTAGTTGACCGCAGGCTATCCTTCGTTGATCTTGCTGAATGTTTCTGTTGTGTAGCTGTGAACTTGGGTAGATTTCATATTATCCCCACACCGGTTCCTCGTATTACATTCAAAAGATTGGTACTGAGTGCGAGTCGGGGGTTCATTTCTGGAGGGGTATAGACAGACGCGTCTTCGCCCGATCAACGATCAACGGTCCATCTCTGAGCTTTTCAAGAAATAAGGGAATTATTGGCCCTGTTTCATGTGCTTCTAAAGCATTATTAGGAGCGAGATTTCCCTATTGATAATAGGACCAGAGAAGTGGAACTTCTCTTTCTGCCATCACTCTGAGTGTCTGACGTGTCTGTACTCGGTCATGTCTGTGATCAGAGTTTGGTTTCTGGTACAGTACAATGCAGGGCAATTGTAAGATACAGGGAGTGGGAAAACTCCAGTCAAACCCAAATCTTAAGAACCACATGGTTCAAGCCTCATGGAATGTCCGAGTTTATTTGATTGTATAGTTTGTGTAACATCAGCGGTAGATTTTGATACCAATGCTATGGTGATACTTTTTGAATCGGGATCAAAATGAAACCTGAGAGGCAGACTCCGCTGTCATAAGGTTCATTTACTAGTAGGGTTCAGGCTTGTTGACTTTAGGTTTTGTAGCTCATTAAGGGATGTAGATGCCAACTTAGGCATTTAGCTGCGTGTATGATAAGGTTAACCGATAGCTATTCCCTTGTGGATGAGGCCAACTCAGCTAAAATTGCTTCCAAGGAAACTCAAAATCTACCTAGATGACCAAGTAAGTACAGTGTGTTAATTTGCGTTTTAGTTGGTCTGTTCTAGCTCGTTCATATTTCTGAGGTATAAGTCGACTACTCTACTTTTAGGCCACCCCTGTTTTGAGCCACCCTTTTACATCAAAAATCGCTTTTTTGACCTATTAATATCTCTATTAATATATAATCTAATTTAATAAAAATTTGAATATATATAATTTAAATCATTTTAAACTTATTCTGAAATCTTTAGATTTTTAGGATTTTTCTGTATTGAGATCTAAAGCTTCAAAATATCGATTTTTTAATTTATATAGGAATTATATATAAATTTAAAACTTTTATAAAATCTTTAATAACTTTTTAATAATAATTATTAAAAGAAAACTATATATCTTTTTGAAAGTTTTGAATTTAAATTTATATAGAAATTCAAAAAGAAATTCAAAAAAATTAACAGATATAGAGATATAATATATAATGAGTTTAAAATAGTATAAATAATTCATATAATTTTGAGGGTATTCTTTTAAATATCTATTTATAGAAAGTTTTCTTTTTTTTTCTAAATCCTTTAAAATAAATATATTATAAATTTATAATAAAACTTTTGAGTTTATTTTTAATAATTTTTATTAAAAAGTTATTAAAGATTTTGTAAAAGTTTTAAATTTATATATAATTCTTATACAAATTAAAAAATCAATATTTTGAAGCTCTAGATTTCAATACAGAAAAATCCTAAAAATCTAAAAATTTCAGATTAGATTCAAAACGATCTGAATTATATATAAATAAATTTTCAATAAATTCTATTTATAAATAAGAAAGTTAAAAATTCCATTTTTGGTGTAAAAAGTAGCCCAAAAGGAGGGTGGCCCGAAAGTAGGGTATCCGACTTATTGCCATACCGGCGATCCCGTACAGCAAGCATCCCTAGTCTGAGCCTTCTAGCTTAAATCACCCCTTGCAGGTTTATGAAATGCTCCGAATTCAAAACTATGCCGTCGGAGACGGCATATGACTTTCGCCAATTTTTCGATTTGAATGTGTAAAAAAAGAAATACGAAGCATACGTGATCTAGAAACAATGCTGGACCCTCCCATGGAACAATAGAATCTTCTATATGCCCTATGAGGTTTCGATGACGGCAGGAAAGAAATGAGAAAAAGAATACCCGTGACGCTAATTCCCTTAGCTTGATGTCGCTACAATAAAGCGGTGGAGCAATGCGCTGATCGGCTTCCAAGGTCCATCAGTGCCTAACCTCAACATCTCTGTGAATTCGTAGCTGTGTCTTCAATAGAAGATCCCTTTCAGCAAGTCTAGTAGAGCATGCAATGCTACGGACACATGTAAGCGCTTGACCAACTTGTAATATTATGAGCATTTGATCTACGATCAGCATCTAACTACCGACAGGAAAATACTTGGCTACGTCAAAACTGTGCCGCTGCTCAGACTCCCAAACCAACTTGGACTTTCTCCCTGAACAAGATGTTGTCAACCGGGCGCATTCCCCACGCACATCGGTGATAGCGATGCGAAGGTGTAAATTGTCAAAATCTCCTGAGAAACGAGATTATGATTGATTTTCTTACTGGAACCCTCATTTGTTTGTGTCTCTAGGTTTAGAAGCCCGATCCTTTTACGGGGACTGAACTCTAAAGACCCATCAACGTGGTAATGGCCTGACATATCCTCCACACCCCCCTAGCAACTTAGCAACTTAGCAACTTAGCAACTCACTTCGCCAGTCATTCATCACGCCAGTTCTGATAGCGCTTCATACCCTTGCGCCACTTTCTTGAAAACGGCAATTTTCTAACTTGAATGCCGCCAAACTTCTGAGCTGGAACTTCTGAGTGTCATACATCTAAAGGGTTTGTTTGGTTGCTTTTTGAGATAGTAGTCGACACAATCTTCGCAATAACATCCAGAACAAATCATAGGCTAAATTTGTCTTTTAGAAAATTCTTGTCTCCTGCCGTGAGAATTTTGGCCATCACAATGATTTATGTCGGTTGGATGAACCCGAGGGCGCTTGAAGATTAGGTTCGTTGTTTGCTAAAATAACCACATCCACTGGCTAAGCAAGCGACTTTGAATTCTGCTGACCCCGTCTTTCAACGTTCACTTGCCATTTTTCAACACTGTTTTATAAATTTTGTAATAGGTACTCGGCGCTTGCAGAATCTGTCACCGAAAATCTCTGAAATGGGCCTTGAAGCCCTTGATGCCAAATGAGATATCCACTTGCTATTCTGAGACAAAGCCAAAGAGGATTCTCAAAAGCACCTTTAGCATTGTTCGGTTAGCACCGCAAATCCATGCTCCTGTTAGTTAATTAATAGTTAAGGATTCCACGTGTTATGAAAATCGCTAGAATGGCCTGCTAGATGAGTTGACCAGTAAGTTGACCTTGTTCTTTCATTCAGTTGACTCTTCTACCCCCCTGAAATCTGATTGTCGACCCGGCATTCGCTCGTCCCCTGCAAACCTACACTGTACCAATTGTTCTCAAACCTTGTTCTGCTCTTGTGAAATTCTTGCAAAAGGTGAAAAGCGACTTGTATTACCTTGTCAATTTGGATTAATTAACCGTCATTTTAAAAAATAAAAAAAGAGGCTTTTCCAGAATCATACTCGATCGAGTTAAGAGCAAAATGTCAGGGAAAAGCTAAAAATTCATTATAACATAGAGATGTACCTAGGTATCCTACAATATCGAATCTACCCCGGAGGACCACACCGTGAATCTTTTGATCCTAAATGGACCGAATCAACCGGGTGGAACCTAAGATCGAGGGGTGCATGCTCTGGTGAGCTTTTTGTACATATGTAGTCGCTCATCGTCCTCGATCTTGACCTCGACACTTTTCTCGAAAGAAGAAAAAAAAAGTAACATCAGACTTTCTTCTACTTCAACCCAACTACTTCCCCTCTTCGACCCAATCTCCACGACCACAACTACATAGCAAACAAAATCGACTTCTACTTCTACGCTTTATCCCTTCAATACAAGAGAACCTTCGTACACCCGAACCTTTTCCGTCATTCATTTTCTTTCTTACTTCGGTTCACAGTATACGATAAGAGAAAACGCATATCCCGGTCCAAGGCTGAGATAAATCCTTCAACTACCCCCTCGCCTCCTCAAAGCACTTTCACTCTCCAAACATTGGAAATGTGCGATTATACTCAGGTTGAGTTTCGGTGTGGTTAGTGGCTCTTTTCCCTTTCACTGTGGAACTCTATTTGTGATCTATTTACGTATTGAATATTTACGTATTGACAATTAGACTAACAAAGTTTCTATCTGATCTATAGGTCACGTTCGATATACTGTGCGGGCATGGTGTATCAATTATGAGACGACACATCGTCGGTGCCCACCCAATGTTGTGGCAGTCGAGTTTAGGTACTTGCATTCCAGCTCTTTGAACATATACCGTGTACCCATTTTTCCCGAATCAAATGTACTAATTGTGGATTTTTATAGGTTAGGTGAATCGGAAATGTGCGGTTAGTAGAACCCCTCCTTCACTTCCGTCGAGTCTAGACCGTTCGAACCGAACCGAACACAAAATAATATGATATATCTAAATAATATTTGCTAACAAGTCATTAGGCGACTGTAAACATGTGGGAGAAATGCCAGAGTGGTATTCTCGAATCACCAAAAAGACGGCTCGCATTCACCTATGATAAATAATTGACACGCTCATATTCGGGACTTGTGCTCATCCATCTGTTATGTACGACGACGAAACTCGGGAACGACGCAAGAAATAACCGAAAGGGGAGAGAACTCAAAGAACGAAAAGAAAAATGAGAATCACATCGGATCGATTGGAACTAGGACGAAAGAGGCGAAAATTTTTCTGGATCATCACTGGCCTGGCATACTTCTCACTCTACCATATGTTTGTATAGTATGCCGGACGTAAACGTTTCCAACACAAGGATTTTTGGGCAATCCAAAGAATAACACTGGGATGGAGCAAGGGAAATGGATGGCTTATGTTATGGGTATGGATATGGATATGGATATGGAGTAGGAAACCTTTTTCATACATTACATATCCAGCAACGGACGGGAATTGGAAAATTAATAAGGACAGATCAGGCAAGGAATGGGATGGAATGGAATGGGAAGGCGTTCTCTCTGTGAATAGTGTAGTGCATTTTTGGAAAGGATGTCACTTTTTCACTTGAATTTACTCGCTGGATAAGGGACTTTCATTTTTTCTACGATTATCAAGATTCATATGAATGATAATGGATCATTGAGAATGAGATGTATGTATTCCACATACAACATTTTTACAAACCAAACAAGAGCGCATCCGCAAACCAAAGATGCATTCCTCTTTTCATTTTTCTTCGCTCTACCACTTCAAGGACTCGCGAATGATCCAGGCCCGAGATTTTCTAAAAACTAGAGCAAATCCGTATTTCCCGGCCCAAAAACACAGGAAAGAAAGACATCCATTAGGCATCCAAGATTTTCCAATATCTCGGGGAAGGCAATCTCATCCACTGGTCATGGTAACACGCAGATCTTGTATCTTACCTCTAGTCCAGCTTCCAGCTTCTAGGTCTCTCTTCTCATTTCCCAAGACCGGGAAGGGAACAGAGTCATCATAAACTCAACTTACCGCATGAGCCGGCCGCAAACCTTCCCCTCCCCTTTTCCCCAGACCTGGAACTTCACTACCGGCCCGCGTTCAAGACATGGAAACCCCTCTGCATCACTCCTCGAAAAGGATTGGATGATGGGGAAGTACAAGTTATGCAGCCAGGGGCCTTCTACATATACTTTCTATTTAAGTTTTTCACATGAACGCTTGGACGAGTGGAGCGGCTTGTGAGGACGGAAGATTCGATGCAGATGATGGTCATCGACAGGTAGGTAGGTACCTGTGCATAGCCGTCGCGTCCGCTTTGATCTGTTTCGTTTCGTCTGGGGAAGTCATGTCACTTTACGCACGGGTCGTGATGGTGGTGATGCGGGATGAATATTCATTGCATATGGACAGATGGAGGGGTATATTGAATATTCAAAGATTCGATGTATTATTTCTATACCACTTCTCGGAATGTCTCTAATTCGACTAGAGATGTTTCTGTCCCATTAACTTTTTATGAGAAAGGTGGTGGGTCTGGTGAGCGACTGGCTCAGGAGATCTAGGTGTGTTTTGGGAGGCACTTTGCATACTTAGATATGTGGACTTGTGTACCCCTTGGTTGCTGAGTCGATGTACTGTGCATCATTATGCACGAAGAAAGATGAAATGTAACTACAGGAAAGACATTGGATCGATTGTATTCTAAGGATATGATTTGTCTAGACGATTATTTATTATCATTTCTGGGCGATAATAGATGGAGTGGGATTTGCAGTACAATGTGTAGCTTATGTAGCGCGCCAAGGAACCGAGGAGAAGATTCTGAAAATTTAGAGAAATTTAGAAGAGGGGTTGAAAATAGGAATTGGTCAGTGGTTTAGTCGTGTGTACAAACAGGTTTGTATGTATGTATACATGTATGTATATATGTATGTATATATGTATGTATATATGTATGTATATATGTATGTATGTGCTGGCTACCACTGTAGTACGCAGATCCAAAGAAGGTTGTGTTGATCATTATGATTTAGGGATTCCCAGTATCCGGGTTAAAGGACGGTGTGGGGGTTTTGAGTGTAGGCATAGAATTCGCACGCAAGACCAGTTACATTTTCGAAAGGAAAAGGAGAAAGAGAGAAAAGAAAGCAAGAAAAAAGCGAGAAGTGATGAAAATAAGGAGGTGAGGCAAGAAATGTATCATCGACGGTGAAGAGCATCGGGATCGTTTTACGACATGATTAGGTAGGCATCTAGCACCTAGGCAAGTGACTTGTGCCGAGATCCAGTCGTGACAGGTGAATAATTACCGAGTTCGGGTACACGTTTGTTCGGAGACATATATGTGGATGGGATTCTAGCACATAGCACACAAAGCAAAAGGAAACGAAGACATGGGATGCTTGTGCCCTATGCGATGATATGTGAAAGATGCGGTCTAATTCCATGGTTAATCTAGATGCGATGCGTTGTTGTGTGCGGGGTCTAGGATCGTAGAATGTGGGAGGTTTGTGGACGTGTGAGGTTAGGAAAATGTGATAGATGATAGATGATTAATGGTTTGAGGTTTGAGCTTGCTAAATATGATAGTCGTGGTGTTTGCGTACAACATATGGTGGAATTCTTGTCGTATGTAGTGTTACAGTATGTCTATTAGTTGACCTCTTTCTTGGTTCTGGTCAGCTAGAGAGAGGTTGGCTGGTTTTTTGTTGAGCATGCGGTGAAGGGTTCGATTGATGTAATTGATAATGATAATGGTATCATGTAATAAGCTTGAATTTTTTAATAGAATAGAAATCAAGAATTGAACAACTTATCCCTTCGCTTGGTTGCTATTCACGATTGTTAAAGTGACGTTGGCTTCAGTTGCATATACCTGTGAGAAAGTATTTCCGAATGATACTTTGTGTGTTTACCCCCCTTTTTGGTTGAAATTTTCTGCGCAATACAGTCATCTTATGTACAACACGTTTGCTGTATCATAGAAGTGAAATGATCGCAAACATACCCTATTCTTGAATACGAACATACTTTGTCATTCTTACTCCGAGGTATTTCTTAGCCACTTCGGCACATTGTAATCGATACTACTCAAGTAATCACTCTCCTTGTACTTTTTTATTGTGTTAATCATAATAAAACAAATTCTGTCTCTTCCCTGCTTATTATATCATCACCTCCGAAGACCTCGATGAGCACGATTACATAGCTTTTAGACGCTATTGTTACAAGCGAGTAAAAAGCTACTCAGCATACAAGAAGATGTGTTGCACCGCAGAGACTCCAGTCTTTTAATCCTGTAACCTCTATAGTAACCAGGTCTTCGGGCTCTCTAAATCCCTTCTATAATAGAGCGGGGTGTGTTTTAATTTTGGTACCGAGACGATTTGATTTTCCATAATTTGATCTATCATATTTTTCTGTTTTCTGTTTTGTTTTTATTGCCATCCGCTTGGGACGATCAGCCCTTGGCACGCGAAATGGATAACTAACTTTCCATATGTGATGTACTAGTAACTTACTGTAAGCAAAATTGCCATGTATCTGACTGGGTACCCGCGTGGGAAACGCACCGAGTAGAAATTCTAGAATTCACAGTCGCCTAGGTCTAGACAGGGTAGTTCATCCTGTTATTCTTCCAAACGGTCGTCGAAGACGTGGGGTTTGGTGGGGGTGAACTGCGGGATGCAGTTGTCGTTCAATCGTGGTCAGCAAAAGGATAAGAATCTATGAAGAGGTCATTTCGTGTGAGAACTAGGAGGCATTGTATGTTGAAGAATTACCCGATTGGGCAAGTCATTATCAATCACCTCATGTCATAACATCTTCAATGATCTCGATATACTTTCATGTTTACTAGGGAGTAGGGATGTTGATATGGACGGATGTCGGTATTCGATTCTATTAGAATACGACTATACGATGTGGATAGATGTGATTAGAAACCGGGTAAGCAAAGAGATTCGTAACGGCGTCGGAGGTAAGCATTGCTTTCCAGATAGGAATACATGCCCAATACCCAAGACATAATAATACCGGCTCTTACCGAGCCACTCTTCAAGATGCGCCTCGTTCACCTGCGGAGTATATTATATTACAATATTCCTTTTCTCCTATTACAGTCGTTTCTATTCCGTCCGAGACGAGACAAGACATGGAAAGCTAACACACGGCTGCAACTGCAATGGCAAATACCAATGTGAATCAATATACAATAAAAGAGCCGATGAACCGGATGCGAGCAGTCGAAGCAGTAAAAGACAAGGATTAGAAGGAGTTTGAATGGATGGTTGGTGGCTTGCGGGGAATAATCCTGTTTGTAGTACCTTACGGGGATGGCGGATTAGGAAGTATGGATTTGTAGATGAGCGAGATTGGAGAGAATTTGAGAGGTGATAGATATTGATGTACACGAGACATGTTGTGCCAGGTTAACATTTCTGTGGTGTTTCGATTGATTGATTCTTAAAGGGGTTGAAAGATTGGATGGAGATGCAGATATCTGAGGTCCTGAGCAGACGGGATGAGAAGAGGAGAAGAGTGATCTCGGCGGATGGTAAGGGGGTATTTTGGCTTTTGGTCAAGACTTCAATAGGAATTCATCAGCCGGTGTTGCATCTGTAAAGTCTTGATTTTCACCTAGATATCAACTAATGAAAGGTGTTAGGTTACAGTGAGAAAGAAATAAGCGGCAAACTCATCGTATCACATTTGATATATTGTGATCACAGCATTCACTGGTTTTGAGCACAGCATGGAGATCTACCCCATAGACCTCGGAGATCCTTCTACCGAATTGGTTCAGTATGCCCAAATCCCTTTTTCTTGATTGTCATTGCAGTGACAGACTCGAGAACGAAATAGTAAGAAGAACGGATAATTACAGCTGATCCCGTCCCTCCACAACACATGTACGCACTGCCATTGTCTCTACCTGTCCGTCGAGCCCGTGTTAACGATTTTCTTCCGAATCCGAAACCTGGTTTGTCAACTGAGAGAAGAGCATAATGATATTCAATATATTAGCTGCAGCGAGAGTGCTATAATATATCTACCGGATTTTGACTAATTGCAGTACATATACATATAGTCGTCCAGCATGAAAGATGGTCAAATTGTACAAATCTATTCTCATTAACCTGGCCATATCTGATCATATGGTTCCTGCATATCGTATGTAGCTGTAGATTCATGTCTACTCTGTGTACAACGGCCCAAGAGAAGCATTGAGAAATTATGGTAAATTAATAGCAAGATCAATAATGTTTCCGCGGCTTCTACTTATTTTAGCTTTGAATGAATTAACCTCAATACACTTGAGTAGTGCAATTCCAACAGGGGAGCTCGTTAGACATTTCTTTCTCCGCTCACGCCGAAGCCAGCCATATCATATGAAGTTGTATGGGTGATATACTAGATTCCCTCACCGATTATTCATTACTCATCATCATCGTCGTCATTTGCTATGAAGTTCTTACTCGGCGCGCGACTTCATCAATTTACTACTACTAGCTAGCGAGGCTAACTCATCCATAGATATACGATAGAGGGTGTCTCATTTGTGTAACCCCCACCTGCCTTATTCATCCTTTCGACCACTGAAGATGATCTTCTCGATAACCTGACTTCCATCTCATCAATCGATTAATAACAAATACAAAGCCGTGTATCTCAAAAGAAGTCACAAGCTCCCTATCTTTCCTTATCCAGTACTGAATGATAAGTAAAGCTGCCCAAATTCTCACCCCATCTCTAGTTCAGCAATACCGGTTTGTTTACAGCTAAATGAATAATCCAATCTCACTCGTCCTCACTTACATATTGTCTCTCCAATAAAACAAGGCATACCCCTCACCCACATATCCCCTCTGAATACTACCCCGAATATGCAGCGCTCATCATCTATTCCCTTCTCAGCTGCGCATACATTCGCTACCAAACTTGGACCACCTGTTCAACGTCTTCCATGTTCCCATTCCCAGGTACCCACGGCATCCAATTCCCTTTTGCGATTTTCACTGTATCAGATTGTTATGGTGCAGATTTTTAGTAAATTTTAGCCTATCATATATACCATTCTCTTACGAAAGCAAATTCTGCGTAGCTAGAGGTATTTGTAAGTATTTCAGTATGCATACTGGTAAGGCTTGGTGCTATTATCAATAGCCATATACGTACATACAGTAGGAGATACTTACCCCTTCATTTTCGTTTACCGTAATCAACGCAATTGCAAAGCGCACTCACTGCTTGGTACAGTACCGAGCCTCGCGTGCCTCCAAGCAACTCCAATCTAAGCACTCCAACCCAACCATCTGTTCCCCCTCCCTCCGAAATCCAATCCATACAAAACCCAAACAAACATCCAATACAACACCGTTATAACATTTGAAATAATATCCGTGCCGCCATCACACCCATCCATTACCACTCATACTTCTCCACCCTACTACAATATCACTCATCTCAAATGTATCTGGGGTGCTAAGCATGGGTATGAGGAAGAACAAGCAGGCATGAAGCGCTTGTCCAATGTCCGTCTTTTAAAAATATATATTCTATTGAGGTTCTAGAGGGGACCTGGGGTCTCATCTGACAAGCATAGGTATACAGGATATCATGTGCGCGCATCCAATTCAACCCCAGCGTCCCATCCATCCCTCCCAAACCCATTTTGGGAAATGTAAGAAGACTCCTTGCCTCACCCTAAACCCTACCAATGTCATATCCGACCGTTGTGATATGATGTGATGTGACGTCCTGCACATCACTCACAGACGGGTCTACCTTACCTAAATTAGAACTTCTGGAAGATTAAAAGGTTGGATTGTTCTTTTCTTCAAACTAAAAACCAAAAAATTAATCGATGCTGCAGCATCTCCTTTAGGGAAATTACCCATCATTTTCAAAGTGGTGAGAACTATTCTTTGGGAAAATAATATGACACCCAAGCTATTACTTCTCCCTTTGAGG